ATTTGGTTTTGAAAATTTATCCGTTAAACCCCTAAATCCGCTAAATCGAGGTCCGTTAAATCGAGACCCACTGTGTATATACAACAAGGTTTAATATTGATTTTATTATTATAAAAATTGAAATTAAAAATGAAACTAATAAAGAAAGACTGAAACAAGATTCATGTTTCTTTTTAATAAATAGCAATCTTTCCAGTGAGCTTGAATTTAAACTGGACCTTAATTATTTGTTTTATCCGAATTAATTTTTTCGAATTATTTGCTTTATTCAAATTAATATTAATATTAATTTCCTTATTCGAATTAATTTTTTTATTCGAATTAATTTTCTTATTCGAATTAATTTTTTTATTCGAATTAATTTTCTTATTCGAATTATTCGTTTTATTCGAATTAAAATTTATTCGAATAAACTTTCAATGTAATTCGAATACTCAAATTCATAACGAATAAAGTGAATAATTCGAATAAACCTTATTTGAATAGAAACCCTACGGGCAATACACTTACCTCAGTTTCCGGTAATTCTTCTGAATCATTTGAAATGGATGGTTCAATCACGTGTGCATTCTTTTTTGGAAAACGATTTATAATATTTTGAATTTGAACACCTGTTAAACTAGAAATAGCATCAGCACTATGTGTAACTTGCTGGATTTTATCTATTCTTTGAACAATGTATAAATATTTTTAGCCTTTTGAGTCTTCTTACGCAAATACTCTCTCTTGATATCAGGAAGATATGGTTCCATTTCATTGTAAATCTGTGTCCTCGCCATTTGATCATTAATTTCGTTTTTTAAGCTAATATCTCTGACCTTTTTTTCCAAATTCCTCACTATAACAATACCAACGTAAAATTTCTTTCTGGCCAGTTTTTTTAGCCTTATCAAATAAATGAGCTAAATGTGATGTAGAAGAAGTAAAGTTTCGAATCTCTGATTCACTCGGAGCCAAATAATCCTCGTCTAGCATATTTTCAGCGAAGCAGGCACGGCCAGTAATTTTTTTATCAGATATAGGGCTTTCTCATTAATAAATGCAGATAATTCACGCATTAAACCTTGTTCTACTTTTTGATTATAGGGAATTTTTATTTCGGAGAAATGGTGCTCTGTGTCTAGCACCATTGTACTAGCTCCAACTATTTCAGAAGAAACAGCACTTTGTACCTCAGTTGTAGGATTATCAGAAGAGAAAGATCCTTTTTGTATCGATTCTTGATCTTGAGAAGCGGGATCTTTGTTATTTCATAATAGTTTCTTTTCCCTGTTTATATCTCTCATCGTATTACTAACTTTTTCTTTTTCTTTTCGATCTACAAAATCCTCAATCTCCTTATCTTCTGACGATTTAGTTTCTATGTGGATAGGTGTTGTGGAGCATTGAAGAGGTAAAACCTCGAGACTATGTCTCATATTTGACTCCTGGCAAACACCAGAATTGGCGCGTTATCAAAAGATGTATCGACTATCTGTTCAGAGATATTATTAGAATTAACTTCAGGAGAAATAGCACTTTGTATCTGCTCTAGATTCACAGAGTCAGTGTTGTCATCCTCACCAGAGTGACCATTAATAGGCGTTTGTGGAGAAACTAAAGACTGCGAAGGGTCATTAGTAGTTCGATTTTGCTTTATGATTTGTTTTAGTTTTGTATTTTCGATCCTAATATTAGCAATTTCTTCTATAATCTGTTTTAATTTAGTGCTTTTAACCTCAAGTTTTGCAACTCGCTGTCTCAATAATTCAAGTTCCAACGACATGTTTGATAATAATCTTCTATATAAGGCATAGATTTATTCAAAATAAAAAAATCACGTGCGCGTGAAGATTCTTCACGCCGATCACTTTTGCAAGAAAAAATTCATGACTTCATGACAAATATTTACCCCCTAGGGCCTGCTCCAAAATTACTGGTTTATTGATTGTAGTGTTTTGCATCTTTAAAAGAGTGATCCATTGAAACTACTTACATTATAAAACATGCATTATTAGAATGAGTGGTTCAACTTACTATTACAAAATAAATATCGGATATAACCCATATGTAGTATTATGGCCATTGCTAATCTTAAAGCCCTTGCATATAATATCTTAAAAGAATTCAAAACTCCCATTGTCAGTGGTAAGGATTTATCAGAGCTGAACTGTTCAGAATGCAACAAGAAAACTATTTTGTCTCCTCATATCAAATCTTTCACAACATTGAAATGTGGACATATGTTTCATAGACTTTGTCTCAAAAAAAAAGATTTTACTTGCTTATCTGAATGTATGTCCTTATCCCAATTGTGATGAAAAACTTGACCTAATAGAATTTCCTATGCATGATTCTGAGTCAAGTGGAATATCCTCAATAGCTGGCAATCTAGAAAAAAATCTAGGAATTAGTTCTCTTGATACAGTGGATGAAATTATGGAAGATGATTCAGATTTGCAATCAACTGATCCCAACTCCAATACTGTCACTACTGCTACCACAAATCCCAATACAATCGCTAATACATCATCTGCAAGCATCTTACCATCCAAGCATGTTGGGGATCCTACATCTGCTGATAAGCCCTCCAGTAAAAAACTGAAAGCAGTTAATAGAGAAGATTCATCAAATCTGAAAAAACTTATGAATGAATTATTATCCACTGAAAAACCTCCGCAAGTTACTGAAATTATAGAAGAAAGTGCCCCTGAAACTTTACCAGTATATAGTTGTTACCTCTATAAGTTGGAGATCAAGTTCAGATCAAATTCAAATCCAGCTTATCACTTACTTTTTATTGCCAGAATGTTTTACATGTATTGTAAAGTTACATTGCATGATATAAAAAATTAGTGTAACATTTCAAATTTCTACTGTATACATTAAATATCTAGTTTTAGACAGGACCAATAAATAGTTATTATTATGAATATCATTACTTTAAATTGTTTGGTAGAAGGTGAGGACCCTTATGACAATGCTTTCGACATTGAAATTGACAAGACCAAAACAGTTAGTGAACTTAAGCAAGTCATCAAGAATAGCCAAAAGCCCTTTTTCAACAATGTTGCAGTCAAAAACCTTAAGTTGTGGAAAGTTGACATTTCTTTTGATGAACCAAATGAGAAGCTGAGTGTACTTAGAGACAAGACATGTTCTGTGATCAAAGAACAACTAAGAGGCATGGAGATGCGCCCAATTTTGAAAATTGATGAGTACTTTTCTGACATACCAGAAGGAAAGCATATCCACATAATTGTTGAACACCCATCTGGTAAGTGAATCATAATAAAATTATGGTTTAGCTTTTTATTCACTAAATCTATTTTCCCTCATATTATTAATATCTCCTGTGATGAAACATTTTTACTCACTATGTAATTTTCACCTTTTTTGCCATATGTCTCAGTTATTAAGAAAGAAACCAATGACAAAATTAATATAAAGGTTGATGAGCTCAGCAAAATGATTCTAGATTTAATCAAAGAGCAACATAAATCCAAAGTAGCAATATCAAGTGTTAACTGCAGTGATTGGGAAAGGATTCAAGAATCTACTGGTCTTGATATCAAAACAGTGAATCTTGATGTAGAGTATGACACAGAGAATATTGTTGCTTACCAATGGAATGGTAGACAAGAAAGGGAACAAAAAGATAGATATTTATCTCATCTCAGGAATATACTCAAAATTTCCAGATATCACTTACTTGAACTTTATGATACAACCAATGATAAAAATTTTCTTGGCATAGTTGACAATATCTTGCCAATAAGACTCTTTGATAAAACAGATGCCATTATAGTAGACAGGTGTTCTATTTCTAACAGAATCCCAGAACATCATATCCGAATTGTTTTTGAGTTAAGGAAGAACATTATTAAGTGAGATATATCAAGCTATGGCAGAATTAACTACAGCAGATTTAAAATCTAAATACAGTCCCCGGCGAAAGTAATGGCACAAATATTCGAATTACTTATTCAGGCATAATACCATAAAACATTCATTTATAATGTTTATTTGTCATAGCATGGTGGAAGTTTGATTTTATTGGATATAAAATGTGACAAAAATAAAATTTAGGTTTTTACCAAAATTAGAAAAGTTTAAGGAAAATCAAGATTTATATGGAATGTGTAACGTTGATCACAGCGAACAAAAAATTTAATGTGTATATACAGTCCCTTGAAAAAAGTATCGCTTCACCTGATGATCGACGAAAATAATTGGATAACTTCTGTGATATAAAAAGTCATGATTTTACTAACCAAGTCGATGTTGTGTAATAACAAAAAAATCATTTTCATAATGATTTCTATAACATATTCAAGTTTCACAACATAAAATTAATTATTGGTAATTTTATGATCTTTAAAAGACAAAAAAAAAATTTCCGGAAATTTTCAAAAAAACTTGAGATTAGAGCCAACTTTAGATGACATGTTTTAACACATTTTGAGAGCTTAGTAAATGTTGTTTCTTTTATCTTCAAATGTATACTTATGAAATCTCACAATTAATTGTCGGATATTGGTCAAGTATCGAACTGAAACGTAAAAACGACTAAAAAAAATAAATGTGTTACATTTAAAAATTTTTTTTTCTGCAAATATTGCTATTCGTTTTTAACTAAAACTGTTACGTTTTTTAACTTATTTTTAATCAACAACACAATGACTCTTACAGAAATAAATACACAAAATACTGAAAACACTCAATTAACTGACTTTGAAAGAGGAAGAATAATTGGTCGTTGGGAAGCTGGTCAAACAACTCGAGAAATAGCAAATGCTGTTGGTCGTACTCAAACACAAGTACAGCGTGCAATAAAAGCATATCGTGAAAAAGGTCAAATTACCGTTTTATCTAGAAGTGGAAGACCAAAAAGTTTAACAGATCGAGACTCTAGGACTTTAAAAAGAATTGTTATAAAAAATCGTTTTACTCCTGCTAGAGAGATAACTAACATATTAAATGAAACCACAGACAATCCTATTTGTGATCGAACAATTCGTAACTATCTCCATGAAGAAGGATATTATAGTCGAGCTGCATTGAGGAAACCTTTTGTTTCTGAAGTTAATCGAAAAAAACGATTTAGTTGGTGCAGAGAAAGAAAAAATTGGAACGTTGATGACTGGAGTAATATTATTTGGAGTGATGAATCAAAATTCAACTTGCATCATTCTGATGGACGGCAGAGAGTTTGGAGAGTTCCAAAAGAAAAGTATGATGTTGACTGTCTTATTCCTACTTTTAAACATGGTGGGGGAGGAATAATGGTGTGGGGTTGTTTTGTGAACAATCAACCAGGACCCTTGGTAATATTAGAAGGTAAAATAACTGGTAAAAAATATCAAGAGCTTTTAGAAAATTATTTATTACCTTTTATGAACGAATTAGGAACTGATTTAAATATATTTCAAGATGATAATGCACCGGTTCATACTGCAAAGGCGGTGCTTAAATGGAAAGAAGATAATTTAATTTCTTCTCTTCCTTGGCCTGCCCAGAGTCCTGATCTCAACCCAATTGAACATGTTTGGGATTATTTAGAAAAGGCAGTTCATAATCGAAAACCACATCCAAAAAATATTGAAGAATTATCTATTTATTTAAATGAAGAGTGGGGGAAACTTGACCGTAATTTTTTACAAAATTTAGTTAATTCTATGCCAAGAAGAGTTGCAGCTGTAATTAATTCTAAAGGAAACCCGACAAAATACTAATAAATAACCAAATTCTCTATCTTTTTTTGATTCTTTTAGTGTATATTTTATTACAAGTTAATATGTAAAATATTGTGCAAATAGCTAGTAAACTTCATAAAAATTATTTTTACGTTTCAGTTCGATACTTGACCAATATCCGACAATTAATTGTGAGATTTCATAAGTATACATTTGAAGATAAAAGAAACAACATTTACTAAGCTCTCAAAATGTGTTAAAACATGTCATCTAAAGTTGGCTCTAATCTCAAGTTTTTTTGAAAATTTCCGGAAATTTTTTTTTTGTCTTTTAAAGATCATAAAATTACCAATAATTAATTTTATGTTGTGAAACTTGAATATGTTATAGAAATCATTATGAAAATGATTTTTTTGTTATTACACAACATCGACTTGGTTAGTAAAATCATGACTTTTTATATCACAGAAGTTATCCAATTATTTTCGTCGATCATCAGGTGAAGCGATACTTTTTTCAAGGGACTGTATATATATATATATATATATACATACATATGCATTATTTGTTCTAATAATAATAAAAATACTAATTTTTTTTTTACACACAAGTAATTCTTTATAATCAGATCTCCATTCATTCTAATAGACTTCTTGTGATTTTTGAAGTCGATTATTAGTTCAAGGTCTTTTTTTTTGGTATTCATTACCATTATTAATTCCTTCACATTTTCTTTTGCGTTCAATAAATCTATGTTCATTCTGGCATGTTTCTTGTGATTTTTGAAGTTGATTATTAGTTTGAGGTCTTTTTTCTTGATGTTATTACCATTATTAATTCCTTCATGTTCTCTTTTGTGTTCAATAGATCTACTATATTCATTCTGGCATGTTTCTTGTGATTTTTGAAATTGATTATTAGTTTGAAGTCCTTTTTCTTGATGTTTATTATCATTATTAATTCCTTCATGTTTTCTTTTGTGTTCAATAGATCTATGTTCATTCTGGTATGTTTCTTGTGATGTTTGAATGTTCATTCTGGCATGTTTCTTGTGATTTTTGATCTTTGCATTTATCATCATCACCAAATAAATTTAAACATACCCAGATCACTCCTTCACATATATTGATTGCAAGATCTCTGTTATTGGAACACTATGGAAAGGTTGTTAACCTGTTGAAATTATTGACAAAACTGTATATATCTGATGCTTTTTTATAGGGTTTACCATTTAAAACCTTTGGAGCTATATATGATAGTATACCACATATGTGGTCTTTATTTGATGTTAAAGTTTGGTCAGCTGGAACTGATATGCAATATATGAGATAAAACCACCAGCTTGTAGAATATTACCACAATGATCATGAATAAATATCCTTTAAACCATTGATAATATTTTTAAGAATAACAATTTTTTTTCTCCACTTCAAAATTTGAATCTTTTTGTTAAATAATTTAAAAGACTTCTATCTTTTATATAAATATATATTCTTTTGTATTTTATCCATAAATTTAATTTTCATGTAATAATTGTGAAATTTTTGAATTAATAAAAAAAATATAATGAATTATGGTTTTTTTAAAAAAAATAATATTAAATAAATTTATTTACCTCATTTAAAAATTCATTGGAAATGTTTTGTGAATCATGTAATTTCTTTAATGCAACAATCCTATCTTGAAAACAATTTTCATTATTAACATATTTGTTACCACTTATCCAAGTAGCTTTGTGTATAGTTGCAAAACCACCCTCACCTACCCTTTTCAATATCTTTTAAATCATCATAATGAACTCATCCAAGGTAATATTTATTATCATATTCTGTTGCTCGAAGTTGTGTACCTTTTATCAACTTATCAATGGTTTTATTGCCACTGGTCCACCCTTCAGTTAATAATTAACTACATCATGAAAAATGAGTATTATGTCTATGACAAGTTGGACATTCACCAAGTCTCACCTTTCTTTCATCTGAATATTGGTAACACATGTAGGAATATTAACTTGGTCAATGTTGTTATTTTACGGTTTCAATAAATTAATAAATTAATTAGAACATTCCGTAATTACCAATTACAATGTCGCACGTTCCAAATGGAAAATGTAAAATCAATGAAACCAAAGATCGTTCTATGGAATTACCTAATTGTTACATTACAACTTCCACTAAGAAATTAACAATAGAAAATTCTGCAGAATTTATTTGTGCGACATTGTGGAAATTTAAAAAAAAACTATATAAAAAAGCAAAAAGTAAAACTTTCAGAAAAAACTTTCTTTAATATAACAACAATAACAACATTTTATTCTCTAATATTATTAAAAAAATGAATGATTTATTATTATTACCAGTTGAAGTTTTAACGATGATCTTCAAAAATGTAAAATTTCCAATCTCGTTAACCTTGACGTGCAAGTTTTGGCACAAAATCTCAAAGGATCCACACTCGAGAGCCGAATGGTTGATAGAGCATTATGGTTCACATGCTTTGGCTTATGCTATTAAATTTGGTCCTGACTTTATTAGCGTTGGATTGGTAGAATGTTTGCTTGCCAAAAATATTATTTTATCGCAATATCTTATGCAAAAATTATCTTCTAATGTTGGTAAATCCGATGAAAAATTAACCAAGCTGAGAAATAATAATAATAATAATAATAATAATAATAGCACTACCAAAAATATTTCCAAAAATTGGGGATCTGACATTCCGTTAGATGTATATATTTACTTGTTGCAGAAAGCAAGTTCAATATGGAAGTCTAATTTACATTTGAAAGGAAATGATATGCAAGTCTTTTTTTACTTGTCAGGCGGGGATCTTCCAATCGATCAAGCGAAAATCAAAATGAATGAAAATTTATCAAAAATCGAGGATTTGATCTTGAAAAACAAATTTATACCATTTCCACAACGGCCAAAGCAACAAATCAACAACATTATAAAATATCAGGAAAATTTAAAACTTAAAAGTGTCGAAAAAAATCATCATTGTCTAAATGATGGTTATGAAAATAACATAATCTCAAATATTATCCCAAGAGCAATTATTCTCAATCCTAGATTAGTCACATTATGGAAAAATAGTGGATACAAAGATGTTTGCCATGATTACAATGATTTAGTATTAAAAGCAACTTATCTCACATTATTTCCACCAACTATTTTCAATAAGAATGATACTAATATTCCAGATTTAACTAAAGTTGTTTCAAGATTGAGGGAATTTGTCAATTTGGGGTTTAAATTAACCAAACTAGTCATGGGTGATGTGTTGCTATTATTTGAAAATGAATTATCGATAATCGGTGAATTGATCTTGAAATCGTTTCAAATACTTAAAAATGAAGATATACGACAAATCTTGGAATATTGTTTGATTCAAATCCTCAAGCCTGAAAAAGGTCTAAAAAATTTAACCGTTTTAGAATTCTTGTATGAAAAACTTGAAAATCCCGAAGAAAGTTTCCTGAAAGTATTAAATACATATAACATAGGGAATCAATACTGCAATTGTGATCGTGATTGTGGTCGTTATCGTGGTGATAATACTGATAGATTTATAAGATTATTTTCATTGAATTTAAGTGTTTATTCCTGGATATTCAAAAAATTCGGATCTGACTCTAGAGTTACGTCGAAATGTTTTGATGAAATCCTATTGGCTAGATATTATATGAACTCCCAATCAATATTCACACCTATTAAAATGGAACAAGATGAATCATTAAGGACCATTTTTGAGACTTTCGATAGACTGTGCAAACAATTCTTCTTCTCAGAAATTCCCTATAAAACTTACCATTTGAAATATCTGATTAAATCGGATGAATCTGTTTTGTTGAATCAATTTTTCCGGAAATTTCTACCAAAGTTATTTAAAATTAAGAAAAACAGCAAGAATTTAATATTTAACACAGAGTTACAAGTTAATTGGTATGAAAAACTGTCAAAAGTAAAAAGTTATAATGATAACGATAATTTATTTGAAAAACAGTTTAATCAATTTGGTGAAAAATTAAATAATATGAAGATTCTTAATAAACTTCCTTCTTTCTCTAATTGTTTGAGTATTAAGAAACTTCTAATTAATGAAGAAACAAACAAATAAAAAAGAGTACCAAATTACTTGGGATTTTAAATTGATTTGGTGAATGGATGAATGAATGAAAGGACGAGAGAGAATCCGGAAAATTAAAGTAGCTTTTGTACGGTGATTAATATAGAGAGATAGTAACACACTATATATTTAATATGCTTACTTGGACTTGGATTTGATTCATATATAGGACGTGCTGCAACAAAACGTCAGAGAATAATTTCGGGGTTTCAGAATTAATAGCTACCCTAATAATGTGTCGCCATTTTATTTTTGAGCAGTTGATAATATGAAGCGAATATGTTATGTAAAAAAATTCTGTATAATTGATAATAATATAATCAAGTATATAAAACGAATTTATGAAATGAATTCCTACTGTAAAAATGGGAAAATGAAAATTAATAATCCTAAATTTTTTCAAATTTTCGAGAATGACACTTCTTATGCTCTACTCCATGGAAGTGCTGAGAGTCTATGATTTTCCAAACCAACGTGGCCGTAGAAAGAGCAGCACTTTCCCCCAAAGGATTCAATCACATAGAGGTTGGATCCAGGTTGAGCACACCAGGTCATATGACAATTATCGCCCGGAAGAAGGACGTGATGCAACTTGAGACTAATTAAAAATTTTGTCACTATTTAAAACAAACTAATTGATTTAAATTGATTGTAGATATGCAGTACATAAAAAAATAATTTTAAATTATTTACAATGCACAAATCCCCCGTTTTACCATAAAATGAATTCGTTGTGAGCGACTTGGCGACGCACAAAGTCTCATGAGCCCTCCTTTTTGAATTGGAGATAGATAATCCGAATTGTTCAAACCATTTGAATATTCGAATTTAAGTAAAGATTTTAATTGAAAAAATTTCCCATGGATTTAAACAAATGACGATTCTTATTCTACCCTTTCACTCCCAGACCTTCTATACAATTGGATTCAGATTCATCTACCACATCTGAAACTGTAGCGGCAGTAACACAATCTTCGCCTGTTTTAATTGGTTCTAGCCAACTACAAAAAAAAAGAAGGCGTGAAAGAAAACTAGAATGTGGGAGAGCTAGAAATTATTATAATTTAATAGGTGAATATGATGAGTTTGCAAGTATAAAGTTTGTTCCAATAATCGAAAAGAGAAAATGTTTAAACATAATAATAACTCTACAAATAACATTTCACATCGATTTAATAATAGTTAAAATTTGTTATGAATTTAAATAAAAAAAATGCTTAAATTTAAATTTATATAATTGGTTCGAATCAAATCATTGAACATTCAAAAAAAAAAACTTTTAGACTATGATTTGAATTAGTTTGAACTGGTTCGTACATAAGCTCTAATCGGAAAATTAAGCTATAATGCACCCCATTTCTTTGACTATGTAAGACACCTTCTCAAGATAGTTATATTTCCCATTGGTTTCCTACTTTAATCCAAGAATCTATCCAACTTATCCAACTCAAAATCAAGGGAGATGTTTCATTAATAGGGTTATTGTGATTGAGATCTTTTCTCATTTTTTTTATTTGATTTCTTCTTGAATTACCAACCCACACCTAGGTTTCCAAATATCATTGTACATGTTTGTGGTGATTGTTTCCATTATTATAATAATTTTATATACAGTATGTTGTTTTTTAATGATTTTGGAATTATTCCATTGATTAAACCTGGAAAGGTTCATCATTATATGGATACCAGCAAATGTCTGGTAGTAAGATATTTGTATTATGATCTTTATTGTTATAATGTTTCATTTTTATTTCTTTTATTATTTTTTGATTCTTCTTACATTACCACAAGTGTTGTTACTTGTCTACAGGAAATGTATTTTCTTTTGGGTTTTTTAGTACAGGTAAATTATTATTCATAGTTTTATTTTTGAAAGCTTTGATTTTTTGCTTTCTTGAACTATGTTTCAGGTTGTCTGTTGTAAGATGAAAAGGCAAAGCTTTTCCATGCTCTGTCCCAATCAATGCCATTGATTAACTTTGCATATTTTACAAGTCTGTCTAGTAACAACCACTTACTAAAAACCTTAGCTTGATTAATTAGTTTAATGAAAGAATGTATTGGTTGTTCAATTAAATATTATTAAAATATAATGTAGCTTTAATATCTTTGTTTTGGTGGAGTCAAATTTCATTGTTTGGCTTACAAGCCTTGTTTAGCAGTTAAGCCAGTAGCATTATTAAAAATATTGTTTGGATGTGTCTTAACTTTTTTACACTTCAAATTAATATTTAATCAACTCTTCTATTATGTGCCAGGTGGTACATAAATTAATTAATATATAATAGAAGACTTTCATTAATATTAAAGATGGCCAGCTCATCAATTAATTGTGGCGGTTTGCATCATATGAAAATTGGATTGTGGTAAATCTTTTCCCGAAAATCGTCTTGGTGGCACAGTGCGTTGTGGAGACTAGGTGACTTTGCACGTTAACTCATATGAATTTATCAACCAAAGATGGTTCCAGCTCTTTTTAGATTCGATTTCCAAATTGGTAATTGGGTAAAACACTGGACTGTAATAATAAGGACTGGTCTTTTAAAGACCATCGAAATTCAATTAGAGGAATCGGTGCGCATTAGCCAAATCTGAAAATCAACTGCAGATGATTTCCAAAATTAGACTAGTTTTATGCTAAGGCGCAGGCACTGCTTACACTAACACGTGATAAATTTTACCCCCATTAATATCCTTGTATCACTTTGATGGTCGTTGTCCACTGTATCACTAATTTAGTGTAATCAGTAACTTGTTATATATAAAAATATATTGATATATATATCGAAAAAAGTTTTTCAACTAAACTTTACATTATTGATATGGATGTCCATTCTTTCGAAAGAGTAAAGTTAGTTATTTATTACTATTTTTTCTTTATAAAAAAGAAAATTTTTTAAAATTTTTTCTGTTTTTTTTTCAGAGAAAAATGGGATGTTATTTTTAAAGATCCACTACTTTCATTAACAAGTCTTCGTGAAAAAGCAATCAAAGGAAATGTTTGTTCACAAAGTTTAAGATCCGTTTGCTGGAAAGTATGTCTGAACTTTAAGTTATTATTATTTAATTTTGTGAAAAAACAATTTATAAATTATTATCTTTTTTCAATAGTTATATTTATCTTATTTACCTAGTCCAGACATATCTACTTGGACTCTAACTCTTCATAAGGAACGACAGCATTATGCAGATCTTCGTCAAAAATATATTACCAATCCGAACACAGAGTCTGATAATGATATTATGGATGATTTAACTGTTAACAATCCTTTATCTTTAGACCAAGCTGTATGTGTATCATTAATAATTTAATTTATTGATTAATGATTGATTGATTTATTAGTTCAATTAACTCAATTATTGATTGACATATTAAACACAATTGGTTAGAATCCTTGGCAAGAATATTTTAAAGATACTGAATTAAGAAAAATTATAAAACAAGATGTTGAAAGAACGTTAGTTTATTCATAAAACAACAATAACAACAACAATAATAATAGTAATTTTTTTCCAAATCACATTAACCAAAAACAATTTTTTTTTACAACAAATAGATTCCCTGATAATGAATATTTTCGTACTCCAGAAACTCAAAGCCGTCTTCTTGATATACTTTTTATTTATTGTAAAATGAACACTGATGTTTCATATCGTCAAGGAATGCATGAACTCTTAGCTCCTATTTTATGGGTAGTTGATCATGAAAGTATATCTGGTGCAGACGGATTTGCAATGGAGAACAGTGAAGACTCGATCATTAAACAGACATTGAATTCTGATTATGTGGAACATGACAGTTTTGTATTGTTCTCTGCTCTTATGAAAGCTGCTAAATTATATTATGAATATAATGATGAAATATTTAATCGTAAACTTGTTAAGGTATTATATTTTATTTTTTAAAAAAACCAATGACATTACATATATTTTAATTTAATTTAATTATTATTATAATTAGCGTCCTAATACATCTGAATCAGATAATGCGAGGTTGATTAAAGAAGCTCAAAATGAAGTAATTACTTTCATCTATACATTTAAATAATCTTTGGCTTGTTTTTTTTTTTAAAAAGTTATTCTTTGAATTTTTTTTAATAGGTTGCTAAGCTTACACCTGTTGTGGTTAAATGTAATAAAATATTTAACGAATATCTTAAAACGTTTGATTTTGAATTATACGAACATTTGTCAAATTTGGAAATAGAACCTCAACTTTATGGAATGTAAGTTTTTTGATTTGTATTTGTAGTGTGATAAATACAATTTAGAATATTTTAATTATTTTAATTATAGAATTAATTCATAAACTTTTTATTTATTCGGATGCTCACTTTTTCATAATAGACGATGGATAAGGCTTCTTTTTGGTCGCGAATTTCCATTGAATAAAGTTCTTATTTTATGGGATGGAATGTTTGCTGAAGATCCTACATTAAGAATTGTAGACTTTGTCTGTATAGCTATGATATTACATATTCGTGATGAACGTAAGTTTAATTAACAAATACAGTTGGAAAAAAAAAATCTATTATCGTTATTATAAATTTAACAAAAATAACAAATAATCTCAACATTATATTATTTTCTCTTTCTATCTCTCTCTTTGTGTGTGATAGTGTTAGAATCAGATTTTACAGGATGTTTGAGTATGTTGATGACATATCCACCAATAGATGATGTACAATTATTAGTGCCTCAAGCAATTCATCTTCGTGATCATTTATCACCTGAAGGTGGTGCTTACATCATTTCAGAGAATGCATTAAGAGTTGGTAAGCCTTTACCAGCACCATATCAAGTATATGAACATAGTCGAAGTGAAAGTATTGTTCCAGATGGATTTGTTCATGTTACTAAAAATGTTTTGGAAAGCCGTAGTGCTGCTGTTTTGAATAAAGCTATTTTAACTGCTGTAGGTGAAGTAAAGGTATGCTAATTAATCTATTTATCTATCTATGATTTATTCATATAAAAATACAATAATATCATATTATTAATATATGTATCATAGAAAAATGTTTTACGTCGTTCTGATATACAACAAAATTATGATGGTAGAAAACGTGCTAATACACCAGATTTTTCGCAAATTCCCTCATCATATACAAACCGAAATCATACAAATACAGCAGCACCACCACCACCACCACCACCATCATCATCACAATTACCACCACCACCAACTGCTGATCCTCTACAATCAGAAACACATTCGGAACTATCAAAATTACGTGAACAGAATCATAATTTTAGTATAGTGGTTAATCAAAGTATTGAGATTCTTGAAGGATTTATGGCAAGAATGAAATTAAAAGAAAATAACACAAACACTGATAATAAGAATAAGAATAATGTCGACGACGATAATGATGATAATGATAACAACATTAACAATAGTAATGATCATAATACTAGCAGTAGTAGTACAATAGTAGATGTAGAAAAAATTTATAAAAATTCAGATGATTCAACGTCGCGTTCTTCATTTGAATATATTTCAGGAAACAGCAATGAAGACTCTTCCTCTTCTTCCTCCTCATCCTCATCGCCATCGCCATCAAACGGAATTGTCACACTTACCCCCATATTAGACCGATTAAAATATATGAGAGATGTGTTGAATGGAACTTTAAAAGATTCCAGTCAAAACTTTGATGTAAATTATAATCATAATGGACCGGAAGATCATGATCATTGGGAAGTGGTTGATGATGGTGTTAGTGTGGTTAGTGTTGCTGGAACTGAAGACGAAACTGCATTTGTTAGCAAAGAATCTAAATTTGTTCCTAGCAGTAGTAATAGTAGCACTGTTAATTCAAATGTTGGCAGTAAATCAATGATTAATAATAATCATATTCAAACAAAAAGATTACCATCACCACCATTGCCGCCATTGCCGCCACCGTTATCCAATTCAATTCAACAAAAACAATCGTTTATTTCTTCAAATCCCAATTCTACTATCACTGCCGCCACTACCACCACTGCTAACGATAATAATACAAATGATGAATCCAATATTGTAAAAGATTCATCATTACCACCAACAATATCAACATTACTCCCCTCACCCCCATCATCATCGTCATCATCACCATCGTCACTCTCACAACAAAAAACCAATTTTAAAAGACCTGCATCAGTTGTTATTCCAAAATCACGACTTAAACTAGAAGATATCCTAAATGATGTAGATAATGATTCTCCAACCGGATTCTCAAAATCTTCCATTGCATCAAATTCCAAATACAGCTGGATGATTGAAGGTTGCATTGATGAAGATGATAATTCTTTGTTTAACCCAAAAAGATCTAGTATAGCTAGTATAAATAGTCTTTCAAGTTTTGCATCATTAAACATTGAAAATTATATTGATGATGAATCTTTTAAAAAGTACATTAATTCAGCAACGGCAGCAGCATCGTCTACTGTTCCATCATCATCACCACCATCATCACCACTACCATCATCATCTACAAATGTTAAATCAAGAAGTCCATTTCCATTGATTGCAACATCTACTACAACTTCAAATTCAATTAATTCTGGAAAAGTTGACCCGTTAGGGGCAACAACACCTAACTCATCAAAAGTTGATGTCCATGAAACAAGTGAAGCAATAAACAACGCAAGAAAATCTAATTATACTGCATCTCCTGCCGCTCCTGTAGATGATCCTTTGGGAGTTCTGTAATATACATATATATGTATGTATGTATGTATGATATATATATATATATGTGAATAATAAAAAAAATTTTTTTTTTTTTTTGATGTAAAATATTATTTCTCACAAATTAAGTTACCATAAAAAAAAATATAATATTTTTTGTTTTTTTTGTATTTATTATTTTATTTTTTTTTTCTAATTAACTAACTACCGAATTTTAATATTTTATTAGATAATAATTCTAACTGTAATAATAAAATATTTATATAATTAAAGACTTATGATAATAATGGAAAAAAATACATTTTTTAAAATGTATTTGATCAAGACATCGTTAGCACCATCATCATTATTATGCGGTTTTTCCATTTTTTAACATATCTAAAAATGTTTCTTTTGACATTGATGTAACTATTTGTATAAATGTAAACATTCAATTAACGATTTTCAAAAAAAAATCATTAATAGATGATAGACAACAACAATAATTAATTATAAATAATAACATAAATAGTTTTCTTACCATCTTTTGTTGCTTTTGTTGTTAACCTTTGTATACCACCAGATGATTTAATTACCTCATCAGTGGCTTGTTGCGATGTTCTGATAGCATTAAATAATTGTACAACTTGACAAGAAGACACATAATTATATTTAGTAAATAAATCATAATTATTCAACACACACGCTCATACACAAATTTTTTTTATTACCTCCACTAGTGGCAATTTTCCTTAAATTTCTTTCATAATCCAATTTCTCAATATCTAATTCAACTTTTACTCGATCTTTCATTAAATTTTTATTTTTCTCTGCACTTATAGCTTTACGAGTTTTATACTCAAGTTTTTCTTCGTCAATTCTTTTTGCTATACTTTTAGATCTGGAAAGTATTGGTGTTTTTTGATCTGCAGGTTTTAGATTACTTGATAATAATTTATTCATTGTTGAAGCAAATTCTGTTGGCGTCGTAATTTTTTTTTTGGTTGCTCGTTTTCTTTCTAATATTAAATGATTAAATAATAAAATAATTAATATATATATAAAATTGTATTAATTGTATATGTGTTCGAATATGAACTAGAAGAAACTAACTTTGACCAAGTGAAATAATATCATCATAATCATCTTCTTCTTCTACTTCATTATTATCATCGTTCTCGCTGTCATCCTTTTCATTATTCTCACTATCATTATCATCTTTTACATTATCCTCATCAATGCTCATATTTTCATCCTCACTATCATTATTATCCTCACTATTTTTGGCCTTTTTTTCTGATTTCCTTTTTGATCCTTTTTCTAAATTACAAAATTTTAATCTAGAAATGATAAATTATTATTATTATTATCATAATTAATCATATCAAGAATAAATTTTTACCTTTATTTGATACTGAATCCATTTCTCAAAAAAAAATATATAGTAATACAATCCGTAATGATCTTCAAGTAAAACTACGTTATGTCACATAAAAGATTCAGGGATCAAAGTTTTAAAAAAATTAGGATTACTATTTCACCAACTCAAATAGCATTTTGAAAAAATAAAATAGATAATACATATCGAATACAAAATAGTGTTGGTTGCAAGGTTAGTTTTTTATTATAAAATGTAAAGTATGCAAATTAATTTTATTCATCACAAAAAAAAAAAAATTATCTAACAATATTGGTTTTTAAATAATACCAAACTCGACATAGTCCATCATAAATTAATGACTCTACCGTGTTTACTAGATTTTCAAATGAACAATTTAGCGGATATGTTATAAACAAATGTAGTGAGAATAAATGATAAAGGCAATTCCATGGTAAGATATATATATATCCATATTGGCCTTTAACATGTGAAATGCTTTCCTGGCGTCTTTTGAATGTTTACTTTTTGCCTTTACACCATGGGTGTCCAATGATTCACCGATAAGAAGTTCAAATGGAGTCACCCATCTTATGATCATTATTGTATTCCTTCTACAAATAAAAAAAAAAAAAATAGACCGTGGCTTTTTTCGCATTAAAATCGGCTTTCAGAAAACCTTTGTCTTTCTGTAGTTGCGTGAAACCAACAGACTTTACCTCGGAATTTGAAAGTAGGATTTCATCAACAATACATGCAAATCCGACCTTTTTTTGGCTTCAGTTAACGGCACGATTCAGTTTCAATTCATAATTTTTATAGGATCCATGAGAAAAGGATCGAGATACTAGAACCTATGCTCGTACTCGGGCGTTTTTTGATGATGCCATATTAAAAATATCGTCACATCTAGAGCGTGCCAATAAGTATGATTTTTTTCTTTTGATCTTTCCTTTAATTGACGAATTTTGTGTTACATTCCAACTGATCAGGATTGATTTGAAACTAGAATTATCAGCTTGTTTTTTTGTTGAGAACTTTTTTGCTTTGGACTGTGGGATCTAAATTTATTATTGCCGTTCTATCCTTATTTTTTTTTTCTCGGTTTTGTGTTAATGTTTTTATTTATATATGTTCGCAAGGACTTAACATTCGCTAATTTAAAAATATAAGGCGCAATTTTTCATCCTGTCTTTTTCAGAATACTTTTAATTGTGCTACGATTTTCAAATTCCATGTTCATATTAATTATTTTTAAATGGTAATAATCCTATATATAAGAAAGTAAAAGAGAAAAAAATAAACATTTACCTGGTGCTCAGGTGGGACAATTAATATCACAACATTGATCCCTGAAATTTTTATGTGACATAATAATAATTGTTCAGTTGCAATATGTCCCCATATAAAAACAACTATCAGAAAATAATAAAATAATAATAAAAAGCATGTCTGTCTCAGATCTTGAAGTTTCCATTAGAGAAAATAAGGAATCTCTTAAAGAACTTACAGATCTATTATTTTTAAGTCCAGAAGATCTAGAGTTGAAAAAACTTGCTCAAGATTTGGAACTTTTTATATCAAAACAAGAGGAGAAATTATTACAGTTGAAAAAAGAAGAGTTGCTCAGATTAATTGGGTGTCAACCTGAAACATCTTCAAAAGAAGAAGTGGTAAGAATATTATATATATATATATACACACATATATATAATCTCCCATCAGAATGGAAGTGTTGATCAACAAACCTACAAAAAAAAATTTATATTATACAATTCTTTAGATCTCAAAAAATGAAGAAATTTTGGTGATTGAAAAATCTAATGATATATTATTAACGGATAATAATAATGATGATAATGACGATCATTCAATGAGATTGAGTGCAGATAAGGATTTGTTGCATATTGGAGGAAAGTGTTGTATTCCATTTATCCATCCAGACTATCAAAAAGTTTACTTTCTTCCAGCAATAATTCTCACAATTAATAAAGAAGAAAATACTTGTAAAGTTTTAATATTAACACCAATAACATCATCCACTAGGATATGTGAAAATTTTCTTGCTAACCAATGTACTACTGCTAAACTATGTTCCAAAAATTTTTCACATGGCGAGGAGGTTACTTTGGAACTTTTGGCACCATATGAAATTTTAGGTGCTGGTGGTGTAGATTCATACAAAATTGGTAAAAAAGTTTGGGCCAAATATAATAAAGATAATGTATGGTATATGGCAAAGCTTGTAGAAATTGGTTCAAATGGTCGAGGATTTAAAGTAAAATTTAAAGGTTATGAAAATAATGGAATAGTAACAGTTAGTCATGATGAGATAATTCCAGTTCAAGGATTAGATGAAAATGGTGATGATGATGATAATGATGATGATGGTGATGATAATGATGATGATAATGAAACAGATTTATCAAGTTCAAATGAATCTTCTGATTATACTTATGATGATAATAATAATGATGATGACGAAAAATTAACCAAAATAAATGTTGATAATAATAATGATGGTTTGGCAGATTGGGAAAAACACACAAAAGGTTTTGCTTCTAAATTAATGATAAAAATGGGCTATAAAATGGTATGCTATATTTATATATATATATATATGTATATATATACACACACTTTTATATATTATCATTTAATTTCTATTTCAACAATTTAGGGTGAAGGATTAGGTAAAAATGGCGAAGGAATTGTTAACCCGATTGAAGTAAAATTAATTAATAAAGGCGTTTCACTTGATTACATTGACGATAAAAAAAAGGATAAAAATCCAGGAAAACAACGTCGTCATCAACAACGTAAATCTGACAGCCCATATTCTACAACCCACAGACGTCGTAGAACACGAAAAGATGCATCAATAGAATTTGGTCCTGATGGCAATATAGAAGCTGAACCAAACATTTTTGATTTTTTAAATGTTTCACTTAACAAATCGACCAATAATAATAATAAGACATCATTACGGCTTTCTAATGACAATGATGTTGATGTTGATGGTAGTGTTGATAAAGTTATAATATCAAATTCTAAATCAACATCAACTACCAATAATTCATCAGAATATTCATCTCGTCAAAAATCAGGATCAAGAAATAATAACATCAAACTATATCAAATCCAAGAACAATTAAATAAAACTTCTCAAGAATTACAAAAGGCAAAAGATTCATATCAGAGAAACAAAAAAGATCCAACAATGGCTAAACATTTTCTAGAAAATGTAAATAAAATCGAAGCAACATATTTAGCATTGAAGAAAAAAGAGCAAGATCTTCAAAAAGATCTCGATAGAGCTAAAGGTCATAAAAAAATGATTTTATTTTAGCACAAAACTAATTTTTATCCTTGTAAAAAAATATATTTAAATTATAAGTTTAATTTATGTAAATTATAATCAAAAGATTTAATTAATTTTATTTGTACCCTTCTGCAAAACAAATTCCACAAGTTACTATTATACATTGAACGTAAAAGCAATGTATTTGCTTTTTATTATAATAATACAAATAGATTTTTTATTAAATTAATAAAAAAGAAAAATATAATATATACAGAATCATGCAGATTCATCAAAATCACGTGCGCGTGAGCAATTGTTCACGCCGATCACTTTAGCAAGAAAAAAAATTGAATACTTTGATATACATAGGCAACCCCGTTAATCCGAAAACCCCGTTAAAATGAATAATTTTTAAAACACCAAAGTCAAACATATGTAAATTACCCCGTTAATATGAATGTCACTAATAAAACTTTATAAACCGTAAACCGAAGAAATTTTTAAATTTTTTGAAGCCATTTATATGTAAAATTGTCCCGTTAATCCGAATTTTTATAAACTGAAGTGAAATAAAAATTGGACCAATAATAATAATATACAATTTATACAAATACATATATGAAATTGAAATCTATAATTAAAATTTTGGGGTGGAGCATTTGGATATGAAATTCTAATTGATTAATTTGAATATGTGAATTGCAAATTCGCATAAATTTCATTTTCACGCACAACATGTACAAAAATTAATAACCAGTGTAGTCTTTCCTCTGGTGCAAACAAGAGGAAAAAAAATCTACTGAAAAAGAAGTTGTGGTATCAAAAAGAAAACATACGCCTATAACAATCTCACAAAAAATGTAAATATGCATTGAAAAAAATAAAGATCCAAACATAAAAAATAATCAGCTTGCATCCAAATATAATGTCAGTGAATCTACTGTTTCTGAAATTCTAAAAAGAGTGATTGTTTTTTATCATTGAATCCAAATCACTTCACTGCCAGAAAATGGATAAAGGAAATTCTAAATCCTAAATTTTTAAATTTATTACCCCGTTTATCCGAATTAATTTGTGACTCTAATGATTATAAAAAACCCTCGTTAATCCGAAGAAAAGTTCCTGCACAATTGCCTTCGGTTTAACGGGGTTGCCTATGTAATACGTCATTATACATAAGATATTAATATGTCTCGCAAATCTAGAAATAACAGACGCAAAACTCAAGGTAGATTTACTACAAATCCTACGCAATATTTACAATTTCAAAACCGGGATAAATATGATCATATTATTTACGAAGGCCATATAACTATCATAAATAGGAAGACACAAGATACGAAGGCAGTATTCGATTATGAAGAGGTATGCAAATATCTAGAGATAAATAACATTGATTCGAATAGGAAAAACCCAGAGTCTATGACTCATACTCTCGATGTGTATGGCAAATAAAAATGCTCTTTATTAACAAAATATAAAAATAGAAAAATCCCTGTTACCTTAAGATGATTTTTTGGTAATTTAACTGATTTCTTTTGTTGAAATTTGCGAAGATATTGACATATCCAATGATTGTGACATATCCGATGATTGTGACATAAATGACATCATTTCTGTAGAGTCATCAGTAGAGTGCAATATTTTACGTATCGTGCATGCAATCGCAGTTCTAAAATATGTATAAGATGATATACATCTTCTGGAGTTGTGAATGAGATATGTAAAGGGATAGTCGCTTGATCAAGTAAGCAACTCCTATAAAGACCCAGTTCTCCACACATACACGCATTTCCAACCTTTTACCGGCAACATTGATCGTGAAAATGGACAACATACTTTTCATTGGCAATTTTTCAAAAGCTCTTTTGTTTTTAGACATCCGAATTTCATCGATAGAGTCCTTTGCCAGCCTGTTCAACTTTTTATGGTCCCGGACTTGTTTATCAATTGAAGATCCTGGTCGACCCGTTTCTAGATATTCTGCCTCAACTTTTTTTGTTATTTATTTTTGCAACAATCATATAATCTGGGTGTTTCGCCTGTTTATGTGACCCCTTTCGTTCCGCACTAGCTGAGCTTGTTTCATCGCCTCACACCCCCCAAATATCAAAATCCACAGGCATGTCATTCATTACAATATTTATTAAAGGTGATATAATTTCACACACATATGATCCTTCATTAATATTGGGGTTTCTTGTCGTTGCGTAAGTTTCCATTTTGGCGACCCCCAAATTCGACTTAATACTTCTAACATTTGGCGTGTTAATTCCTGTAGTTTTTCTGGCTTGTCTAAAAATTCGCCAAATGTTTCAGGAGGGTTGAGACGTTTTTCCTTTTCTTTTTGAATAAATTTTTCACCCATATCCTTTAATGTATTATCGGTTGAAATTAAGAATTTTCTACTTGATGCCTTAAAATCATTCTGTAATGAACCCGGAATCGTGGTAAAGGGTTCAAAACTATCATCTAAAATACATGAACACAATGGGTGATCATAACCCAAATCTTTTACATCGATTCCATTTAATTCGCTTTTTACAGCACTCCACATAGTTTTCTCATCCCCTGACGTTGATGGTACTAACTAATTCACAAATGTTAATAATAGATAATTGAAAAAGAAATAATAATATAATCTATTTTAAAATACAAACCTTATGCACTTCATTCTTCAATGATTCGAGATTTTTAGTTGCGTCGGCTAACCAGATATCCTCTACATTCTATAATTACAAATAATTAATCATAATATTCATTTGTAACGAAATAGAATATTATACTAAATCTCACCAAAACATCCATCTCCAATGAAGAGCGAATATAGTCAAAAGCATCCGAGACCTAACAAAAGCAATTTAAAGTTCGTAAGTTAAAACCCAAAAATAGTTTATTATGTTCATGTTGGACGCAGATCAGTTTGGTTTTCTTTTTTCACACATATTTCAAGGATATGGCCATTTGCAAAAGATAACACCTCAGTAGAATCCGCATATGGTGTTTAATGTATATAAACAGTTATTCCCGACATCCTTACAGAATTAATACTACAAAGACAAAGTGCATTCACTGATTATATACAACCTTATGCATCATCAACATCGGTAAGAAAGGTGGATGAAATCTGTTTGCCCTCTTATAAACTACCTCGTCCGAACGAAATATATATTTCGTTCCCCTCATGAGAAAACCAATAAATTCATCATATATAATTAATTTTGATTTGTTATTTCTGAGACTTACTGTTTTAAAAATTCACCACTTTCAAAATGACCAATCTATCTTTTTCATCCATGTGAATAGTGTTTAATACTTTATCAACTACTTCAATAAAATTGGCTACTTCCTTCTCACGATTATCTGTCCATTCATGAGCCTCAACACGCTTATATAAAGCAGTAAAAATAGTTATAGTGGAAATTGGGGTATAAGAAATCAAGAAAGCTTCATAGTTTTTGGCGATCAATGTGTTGATTGTTCTTTCTTTGTATGACTTTAATCGGTTAGCATATACAAATCTTTTCCTAACCTTCCTTTCTGTGTTCCTTAATTGGTAAGTCCCGTTTAATCCAATATCATTAGTACGGAAAACTTTACGGAATTTTACCTGAAATTCGCATTTTTCCATACAAATTCCATACATTTTCCCATACATTTCCATGCAAAATTTTTTAT